GGCAAAGAAGTGAAGAAAACGCGAAAGTCGAGGAAATCACATACCCATATGTCGTTACTACTCAGTATTTTAACAAGTTGACTGTGAGTTTATCCAAATTCAAGAACAAACAAACTATTGATAAATGAATTTACTTATTTCAACGCTGTCTTCACAGAGTATATCTTCTGGATACACTCTTGTTGGTACCAAAATCAATGCCTATGACACCAGCGTAAGTATTGTGAAGGGCTGTTACAGTTTGCTGTATAACATTGAGGTAGATTATTCAATTGATGATGAAATCAGATAGCTTGAAGGTTCCTTTATCGAAGCTCATTTTTAATAGCTTCGTGAGCTCAAACATTTTGGCCTTGCATTTAAAAACCCAGTATACAGGGTCCAACATTGAAAGCCAGTAATAGGTACCATTGAGAAGTTAAGAAGCTTACAGCATTTCTCGGTGAGTTCCGTCGAGTTTCCACTACCTTTAGTCAAACCGGCAGAGGACCAGTTTACTGAAGCTTTTTTGTATATGATGAAAGACTTTTTCTTGGACAGTGTTGATATTATCGACGAGCAAATAAACTCATCTAAAGTTGTAATGGTTAATGCAATGAATTTAATAATAATAGAATAAATGTTATCCAGTCTGGCAGATTTGCCCTCACTTGCTAATCGAGTGTTCAATGCCAATGTAACCATGAAAGAGCTTCACTTTGAATACAAATAAATGTAGCGAACCAATATCGTTGCTTCTTACTCGATTCCCAAGTCAAGATTAATTCTGGTTACAAATTTTTTCATCGTTAAACATCTAAAATACTATCACAGTCGAGAAAATCTTATTAACTTTAGCGCTGCAAAATGATAAATAACAAAATATTCCAATACTCTTTACAGTATAAACCGACTGCTTCACGTACAACTGAATACTTCTTTTATGGACATGAGATAAGCTCAGCAGAATCAACAAGAAAGTTTAATCTTCAAAACTGCTATCCTGATCCTGCATCGAGAAAGACTATTGCAATGTATTTCACCTGTAAAGGTTCGTATCAAATCACGATTTAATTCCAATAACCTTGTCACTTGAAAAGTAAACGAATATTTTTTATTCCTATTTCAGATATTTCTTGCGATTACTTTGATCAATATTATTACCAATTTCGAGATAAAGTTAAAGAATCACTAGTCAACTCTGGAACAATTGCAGCTTCGAGAATCGCAAACATTGAGCCAATAATTACTTCCAATGAAATGATTATTTACGTGACGATTTTGGACTTTCCAAGAATAAAAAGTAAGAAAGCTTTCATTTAAAATCTTGGATGATGAGTCATGATGATCTGTTTTATTTATTTTTTTATTTTCGTCAATAGATGCATTCGAGAAGCGAAATATGAAGTTAAATGAAAAAGCTTTAACATCAGCGTCAAAAGTCATAATTGATGGCAACGAAGAAGATTGTTTGATGCAAAATTCCTATAAATATGAACCGTTCGAGTAAGTACTTTCGCTTAAGTCCAGTAATTATTGATTAAAGTTTAAAAAATTTTATAACAGAGCCATTGCATTCTGCAAGACTGTGGATGGTAATTTGTGCCAGAGAATCGATGGTAAAAACGTAAAGCTTGTGCAAGATCACGATAATGGAGTTTCTTGTTCAGTTTTCATGACTCCATTGAAGAACATATATCGTTATAGCCAAGAATTACCATTGGTAAACATTCATGAGAAACTCACGCACATCAGTATTTCATTTAAATCACCTCAGAACAACAAGATGTTTACCTTTATTCCATATCATGTTGCGGATGCAACAAAAGTTAATGATGATGAACATGCTTCGTTATTTGATTCAGTCTTTAGAAATATGAAGTTGGTTGAAGACAAAATTAAGACAATATCAGTTACTGGCGCTACTGATTCGAGTTCTTGTTACCGAAAATGTGCCAATTCAAATGACAATAATTGTAATTCATTCTCGTTTTGTGCTTATAATGAAAGAGTTGATTGTCTTGTGTCTACCAATGAAAATATCTCGCCTCAAACAACGGCTTCTGATACCTGTGGCATCACCTACTTAATTGACAATCTACAAAAGTTCAAGAAAATTCCATCCAAAAGATTTACCGACAATCAAAATACAGTATCATTTGATAGTTCTCTTGATAAATGTGCTTCTTTTTGTTACAATTCTGATTCATGTAAATCATTCCAATTCTGTTCTGGCTCATGCAGTATGGCAGGTCAATACACGGATGCAGCAAGTGATTACAGTGAAGATTGTGATATTTATATTCGTACGTAAAATTCACTAATTAATTATTGATGAAGATTAATACAAACTAAAAATTTCTTTTATTTCAATACAGCAAAAGTATTGGATAGGTTTGAAGTAACCGGAACATTAATTGTCGAGGACGTTTTTCACACTGAAATGAATCTCAATGCCGATCAATGTGCTGCTCTTTGTCATGATTGGAACGATAAAGAAGTCACTTGTCAGTCTTTCAATTATTGCCCAGCACGTGGTAAAAAGCTGAGCACTTGTCAATTATC